TTATTCTTAATTAAGTTACAAAAGTGATTCAGTGAAGAGCAGTGAGAGATTTCCTCTTTTTTGTTGTTTGATTAACATTAATAACAACAGCAAGTAAATTTGGATGCTGTCACTTTAAGACCGATATACTCGTGCGCTTTCTTTCACAACTATACGTTCACTTAAGACATAAAGGACTGTTTACTTGAAAGACATGATCACTTTGACACATAAGTATGCGTATTTAATCGTTTAAGCTCAATTAGCCTGCAAAAAGCACTCAGTTCAGTTCTCACGTGCTTTATGAGCAGCAGCTTCATATGTGCACTAGTGTTGTCAAAAGTACCGACGTTGGTACTAAAATTTAAAAAATGTGACGAAACCAGTAGCCTATTTCCCATTTTGAGCACGGTTCAGCAGATTCTTATACCTCTGATTGGCCATTGTGTTCACGCGCTCAACATTTGTCTGTGATTGGCTACAATGATCAACACTTCAAAAACATGTAAATAGACGTCTTTGACGCTCTTCACCAAGCACTTACACAGAACCCAGGAGAGCGTTTGAAAGCAGGCGTCTGTCAGCGGATCTGTAATATATCTGCTGATAGACGGATCCTCTGATAGATCATTGTAGCCAATCACAGACATATATGTTGAGCGCATGAACACAATGGCCAATCAGAGGTGTTTAAAAATCTGTTCAATAGTGCTCAAAATGCTAGAGGGAAATGCTGGTATCGTCACATTTTTTAAATTTCAGTACAACATTAGTGCGCGCTTCTCTCTAGCGCTGCAAAACAGTCTCTCTGACAGCACGCGCATATAAGTTGTCTTTTCGCTGCTTACTGTGCTTCAGCGGTTTAAAATCACTTGTTTTTAAACCGCAATTCTTAAAAAGAATGCAAAAGATACGCTTTCGTGACTGCGTAGCAAACATCACGCGAGCGTAACTTGGATAGAGATGATAGTCCAAAGTCTCTACCGGTTAATCATGTCTACCGGTATATCGCCCACCCCAGTTGACAGACTATGAATTCCTTAAATTGCAGGTTTGTTATTAAAGTGCACAGCCACTAGCCGGACACAAGAATCTGCTTAAAATACACAGCAAGTCCAGAATCGACACACTTGTGAAACAAAAACTATAAAGTCCGACACTGTCAAAGATAGCATGCTGTGCTGGAAGCGGCTGTATTTCTACAAAAAAATTAAAAGTCTCTCTGCTATTCCAGACTTTCTGCATGGTTAAGGTAGCCCTCGGCCGTTCCCTCGAAACGTGACACTCGTCTCACTAGAGAAACAACTGGTACCAGCACTAATTGAAATTTTGCATGCAAAGTGACAATAGCCAGGCCCTGGGTAGCATGGATTAGGCGCTGAATGGAGGCGGATTCTTTGTGAACGCCACTGTGGAGGCTGGCGTGCAGACGAGCTCCCTGCATCTGCTCATTCAGCAGCGGACTGAGAAAACACATGATTGCGAGCAGCCGCTCACTTTACCTTTATCTAATCCCGCTTCTGAACCCCTATCACCACCTCTCTACCCCACACTCTGCGTTTTGTTACCTTCCCGAAAAACTGTACTGCTATGTGTCTGCTTATATGCTGCAGTGGCCCACACTCGGTGTAGTTGGAAACGGACGTGACACATTTACATTTGAAAGCAGATTATTCAAACTTGGCAGGCATTTCAAAGTGGAAGTGTTGATATGAGGGCTAAAACAGCTATGTTAACAAACAATAGCTTTAATTATCTCCTCTCTCTGTTGTTTAAGAGTATTATGGAAATAGATTATGAAAAGCTTAGCTGAAACAAACTTTGCACTTGTACAAAATACTAAGCAAAATTTATTTTTGGTAGTATTTATGTAACTTCGGAAATACTGTACGATCAAATGGAATATTTTGATAGCTTTACCCATAAACTGACCAATAAATTCTAGGATGAAACAACTGACGTTATTAAGAATTATAAATTATAAAAATAATCATCTATGTCTTTCTTGGAAACAAAAAGTAGGCTACACAAAGCAGAAGCTGAAAGAAATATGGAAAATATTCTGATAAAACAAGTCATGAAAATACAAATAGTATTCTGGTAATACATTTTCACCAAGGCCCGTATTAAAACCAGAGTAAATGCTATTTTTACCCTTTACCCTAAAGACTAATGTCCATCATGTAGACGAGCACATCAATATATAATCAGCGTTCAGATATTTACAGTATGGGAACAGACGCAGCTGCTTATGGGATGTCTCAAGATGAGAGAGAATTTGCATTGTATCATGACATTATGACAGCAAAATAGAATGCATGCTGGGAATATTGAAATAGCGAGGAATCTTTTGAACGCCTAGCCTGGCGTCCTACTTACAATAGATGCCAACTCTTGACGTGATAAAAACAAAATGCAGCTCGGCCGTGGCCTTATGGTATATCCCGCTTAATAACATTTTAAAACCATGAAACATGTGATTGTGATTTGTAATCACATAATGCAAATCCAGCATATAGCCTAGTAAAAAATCTATTTTCTAAATGTAAAATCTGATAAGGAATATTGTTTGATTTGATTACACTGAACCAACTGAGATCCAAAGCAGAATAGCTAAAAATGAAGAAGGCAAAATTAGGAACTATGAAATAGAAGAATGACACAAATAAATATTTTTTGCTAATCACTGAAGACGCACAGGCACAAGGACTAATACTAAATTACACTGTAACTAGTTCAAACCGCTGCATAATGCAAGGTGACATACAAAAACTTGTCACTGAGAAAAAACTTCAACGCCCCTTAGACTGGCAGCATCAATTTAAAATAAAACAATAAAGAGCAGAACCATATTTTATGGACACCTACTGGGAAAAAGCTGTCTAAATTCACATATGCAAATCCAACGTGGGTTTAAAAAAAGCACTTGAAGTACTTTATTCTTCCACTAAAGGAGTCTCAAACAGAACCTTATATCCTGAGGGTCACCACACAACCTAATTAAATTATACTGATAATATTTCACACAGACAAGTACACACAAATTAAATACAAGAGAACTATTCCATCCTCACAACTGAAATAAAACATCTAAAATTCCTTGAAATAATTCTGGATAAACACTGTTGTATAAGGCTTTAAAGATGACGTCAAATCTCACATCTCATCTACTGCCATGCCATCACTTTGTTTTTAAGGTCGAGGAAGCGTTGACCTCTTTTTCAACTCTCTAATTTTTTATATGTAAGCGCCACGCTTTCACACCATTGGCTGAAAAACTAGGGTGATAGACAGAAGAAAATGCAAATCGACCAATCACTCCAGGGTTTGTGATTAAGCGATCCACAAGGGAAAAAAACTTGATTAGGAGGAAAAAAAAATATGTATAAAATAATTCAATAATTGAAATAAACATTTCAAAACATTAAGAATAATAATTTTTGTGTGTGTGTGTGTGTGTGTGAATCTATTTTCCAAGAAGCAATGTTGGAATCATCATTTATACTTTTCTTGAACAGTGAAGACGATACTAAAGGCAACATATACATTATTTTTAAAAAAAGGTCAAACAATCTTTGAGGACCATAAGGCCTCTAAAAGTAATCAGAAAAATAATTTTGATTCCTTTATTAAACACTCAGGCTTTTTATAAATTTTGAATTATAATTATTGCACATATTAGCCTAGTTGATATTAAATTGTGTACGCACATTTCAATTTCAATTAAATTAAACTGGCCCTAGAAAAAAAATCTAAATTTTTGGCAAGTATTGGGGGGAGAAAATACCCCCAAAATATTTGCCCGCTTTGTTCAAGTGACATGATTGGTATAATAATTAATGGTCAGAACTTTCTGAAATTGAAATCCCTGTACAACATAGCCTACATTTAAAAAGTTATAATAATGTTGAAGTAATTATGGTTTAGCCTATACTGCTCCATAAAAATGTTTTAAGAAAGATTTATTAGCAAAAGTAAAAAAGGCGGTCATGCAGTACTGTTGAATGAACTCTTATTTAATTAAAATAGATTTGTGCCTGAGTATGCAAATGTACGCATTCATTTTATTATGCATAACTAGGCTACACTGTTGTTAGCCTTACTCATGTTTTGAGCATAGCCTACTAAATTTGATAAAACCTTGAAAAAAAATTCTCTTCTGTTAAAATCTCCAGTCTAAAAGTACAGAATCGAGTATGCCTATATTAATCCATTACATGACAATAAACTCAAGTATCATTAAACTTGAGAACTAAAGCCACAAGAGGTTCCTGTAATACCAGCAGTGCCTACTTAAAATTCATTGAGTATAATTCACTGGACACAGACACTTCAAATCGCCTGGGATTGAATGTGTGGTCAGTAAGTGAGAATAAAGGACTGTATGGTTGTTTTGTTATTGTATGCTCACTGGAAACCTGCTTCATTGTCCAACATGCTGAGTCCAGCATCACCATTTCAGCTCTGAATTCCCGCTGAACACGAGCGTAAAAAAACACGTCAATGCGTTACAAGAGAAATAAATACTAATAAATAAAAATAAAAAAGATTAATGTATAGAAGTGGTTCGGGTTTAATATTTCACCTGGAAATGATTGTACAAATAAGGGGCGCGAATCTCGTGCAGGGTTCGCGCACGCACACGTATCAGCGCGTGGGGATACAAAATAATGCGTTTTAATGCTCCTATTGCACATGAAAAGATGATAAATATATTATTTCTTAAACTCACTCTGATGCTGTCCAAATAAATGCGTTTCTAAGCCACCTGTGATGTTTTAACTAAATAGTTCGCATGACAGAACAAGCCTTATCAAAGGGATACGTTCTTGTCAGGGGGAAAGCAACCGTTAAAAAAATGTCACATTTGTCCCAGTATCATTCCACATTCGTTAATTAGCGAAAAAATGGTTTCGTATCTTATTTCTAGGATGGCATTCAAAACTAACGTGCCGTGACCGTAAACTCTCAGTCTGTCGGCAAGATGCTGGACTCGCAAAACACGGGGAGAAACATCTTACCTTCAACAGCCAGGACCGAGGGTAGTAGTGTCCATAAAATCCATAGGATATCCATCATTGGTTTCTTAGGGGTGAAATTGTATAAAGTCCAGACATTCAAATAAATTGTGCCCTGAAAGCCATTGATATCAGACACTGGCGCAGACCGGCAGACTTTCACCTTCCGTTGAATGAATACGATGCCATAAACACAACTAAAATCCAAAGCGAGTATGGACGAGACCAAACGAGTCAGACGAGGGGGGAGGGTGGTTAGAAGCGCCGCGTTAGATCGGCCAGATTATAAAAGTGCATAAGAAACGTCGCTTTATAAATACCAAAAACTCGTAATAAAGATTATTTCATTGATAAGAATCGACCAGAGCGGATTCCCATCGGTTAGACTACAAAAGATTGAAGCCATCCAACCCGAAAGCGCTCATTTCTTCTGTCCCACTTGTCAATCAAGGCAAGAGCATAACTATTCAGCCTTATCAGCGGATGCTCGGTAGAAAATTGTGACAATTGGGAATACAGGGATATGTGAATTTAGACAGACTCTGAGATTATTTATGAAGATTAATCGAAATATATGTGTGTTACAGTTGCACTAATGGTAGCTAATGGAATAGTCTGTCGCCTTCGTTTTTTTCTTTCCCATATTCTTCATAAAAAAGTAAAGGTAAGACGGCTTTTAAAATTACTGTGAAACGAGGGGACACATAAATATCGGAAAGCGTAAAAGTAGATATATGCTTATTGTATACATGTTTCTAACGTATAGGGCCTACTTTATTAGGCCTACATTGCTTTAAACAATAGCCTAAATGTAAAAATATATAAAAGTAAAAAACGTTTTTTTTTAATAAAATTTTTTTTTACATGCATTGTGGACAATTGTAACTTAGTTTTAGATACACAGATGTTTTATGTGTACACACTGAAGCAAAATCAATGAGAGCACAATGAGAATGTGTCTGTGTCTGGCAGCTGTGACAAACTCACTAGGCCTCATTTGCAATTTTAACAATGTGTGTCAATGAACTAACAATATTTTCAATGCGTTTGTGTAGGTGCCTATAACAACAAGTGCAATTTAAATAGGTTAGCGAGAATAAGCAGCAAAAAAACACAACAGAAAGGCTAAGTTTATGCAACAAAAATATAATAAAATGATAATTTGTCCCTCAGATGACAAATACAATAAATCAAAACAAATCTTTGAGAAATTGTAGCAGTCTTCCTCCATTGTTCAAACAAGACATTTTTAGCATAAATTCAAATTGTCACCATAATTTACACCATTTCCTTTCAGCTCCCGAGTGATAAAAAAAAATAACGAACCTTGAAACCTTGTGATGAGTGAATCACGTTATTTTCCAATCACTTATTCAACTGAAAAGCGTCTTGGCAAGAGATGGAGGTTATATTTGTTATGTGAATATAACAGGATCATGGTGTAGGCTATATAAATTATGCACCTGCTCTTTCTTTTCTACTCCTTGCTTATAGATTAAACTCATTTGAAATGTAATAATATAAAAGTAGCAGACTTTGTGAAGAAAGAAAGAAAGAAAGAAAGAAAGAAAGAAAGAAAGAAAGAAAGAAAGAAAGAAAGAAAGAAAGAAAGAAAGAAAGAAAGAAAGAAAGAAAGAAAGAAAGAAAGACCTGTGCTCTCTAGTATCTGAAGCTTTTTGTTTTATTCTTGCCTATATCAGTTGACTCTTGCTTGAAAATCTCTCGAAAGTCTGGAACTAGAGTTACCTGATCCCAGCTGGTTGTGTATTACACATCTTCAAATCACTACATAATGTCCATCTTTACTAAGTAATTTGTTGAGTTTGTTAAATAAAGCTCCACAAAAAAGGTCACTAGGTACAAGGTTATATTGAATATTTACTGCATTGCCCACTAGTCTTTCAATATCGATCTTTTCAAAAAATCTATGCAGAAATCACAAAGGCAATTTGGCTTTTCGGTTTTAAATCTATTTTATGAGTGGATTTATCCTAAAGTAAGAATGTGGCCTGAAAACAAGCTTTGATTAATCACCTCCTCTTACTTTAAAGCAACTATAAGCAGTTTTATCGGCGCATTAATAAGTGACAGTCACTGGCGACAGTGGTACTGTTTAAAAAAAAAAAAAAAATTTTACATCTCAGACAGCCATAGAAGAAGAAAAAATTTAGGACAAAATAAAATCCCTCAAACAGATTGTTAATGGATAAGCTTTTTGACCTGTCAGTTATAGTTTGTAAGAAGCGACAGCTGAATTTATGTACCATTGTGTGCCAAGCCACAAACAGAATTTTGAAATATTCCTTAAAGCAATATTCGACTGATTTCCTGTTTCAGCAGCTGGTAGTGTAATCCAAATAATGCTATAGCAGAATAACCAAAAAATGAGGCACTGGCCCTGCAGGCGGAGGTGGACACAGGCAGAAGGTAAAGTTCGGAGAAGCCCACAAGATGATTCTCTACACAGATGGAATAAAATGAGTTTTTCTGAGCGACAGTAGCGGGGTATGTAGGGGCACGGGCTTCAGATTAATGGCAGCTGAGACTGCTTTTACCATTCCCTGCGAGGTCACCGAATTTGACCAAGTAAATCACGGCCGACTTAGAGGATCACAATATATCAGAACGCAGATATAGACCTTTAAGGTGTCTGTCTAAATAACCCGAGACTTGCGGGCAATGACGGGATTAAGTTATTCTATTCCCTGTTATTGAATTTGGAATCTGCGTTTTGTTAGTCCATGCTCTCATGGAACAAAGCTGTTATTGTAATATAAAGAACTGGCAGTATTTTACTTGAAAATACCAGTCAGTCTGTGGAGAAATATCAAAGGATATAAAACTAGACTAACCATGGGAGACTGGACTTTAATACTTTGACTTATGTCTGCTGGAATATCAAGTAAGAAATGTTTTAAATTTTCCCGTATGAAAAAGAATGTGTATTGTGAATTGATACCATTCTCTAATATCACAGTACATCAAAGAGAAAACTACTGTGTGTGTGTGTGAATTAGTTTCTGGTGGAGTTATTTAGCCTGAACAAAAACCTTCACATTATAACATTAACATCAAGGATTGATTTTGCTTTTCTTTTTTTTAAAGAAAGGGTTTAATTTATTTATATAGTTTCAGCTTTGAGTTTTTGGACTGTATCATAGATAAATATTTTTAACTGCATAATGTTAATAGCACCAAACAGATTTTGTTTTGGCATGATTTTATTTATGCAAAACCATGTATAATTTTTTTTAATAAAATTATAGAAACGCACACACTTGCAAGGCAACACACAGGATAAGAGAGCGGTTTGAAAGTTCAACATATGGATTACATTTTGAAGGGATATATAATTTATACTTTTAGAAATAAAAAAAATGTAAGAAAATTATATATGCTCAACACTGGAGCCAGTGCAAAAACTTAGCACTAGCAATATTTAAATTCAAGTTTTGTTTTGCTTTGCAATTGGAAACTCAATTAATAAGCGTACCACATTTCATTGTAAAAAGTTAATTGTAACTGTAAACCTTGATCAATATAGAAACAAAATATACACAATATATAATAATCAAAATGTACACACAGCAAAACTTATGAATGCTTCCAAACCAAACTCAATTCGTTTATCTTGTTTTGTCATATATTTTTGCTAATTACATATCTAAAAATAAATAAATAAATATAAAAATGCTGAAAGTTAGGCCTAAAAGTTCAACACATCAGTCAAATAAATAACGGTATCTGATTAAATGTGTGATGTGTGTAACTTCAATTTGACTCTACTAAACAAATAAAGTACCAAATTGCTTCAACAGCGCCACCTAGAGGCAGGGAAGTTACACTTCTCTCTTCTTTCTCATTCTTGCCTTTTAGTTTTTGATACATGTAGAATAAAAAATTATTTTCTGTAGACTCAAAGTATGAATACTTAAACTTTGGGCTATACTACATAACATTGGTGTCTATTCAAATTGAATTTGAGAAAAATTCTCTCATAAATCACCTGTAAATCAACCCACGAGAGTGGCTACATAAGCTACACAAAATCACACATTTTAAAGCATGGTACTCTTCTAAATCAATGTTTTCCCTGTATCCATTCACAAGCAGAGCCATTAAACAACCATTTAGCCAGTGTTCAAGACACCCTTATCTGTATTTTGTTATTGGCATGGCAGTCTGCAGAACTTAATGAAGGTAGACTTTAAAGTGCTCTGCTATCTGTTAAGTATGTGTGCTTGATCTCTGACCTTTGTGGCAGATCCTGGCTGCTCTAAAATCTGAGAAGACTCTTCAGATGTGAATTAACCCTCAAGGGACACCGCCTCACAGGTCGGTCAGAGAAAAAAGATAAGGCTTTTATACCAGTACTTCACATTCAAGGCTTTAAATTAAACTTGGGCTTGACTCGAGGATGGTATTCCACATGGGGTTTCTTTTGCAGTTACAACTTGCTTTCTTTTTTTAAGGTGATAAATGAGCCTTTCCAGTGATAAGGGTTGAATATAATATGCGAATTTGAAAGTTAATGAATTCTATTGTTCAAAGTGATCACAATAATCAAATCCATTTATATACAACGCCAGCTCTCTGTACTTCCTCTGTAGTCAGGTTTAGTTACTGCTTATCCTATTCACTTAAATCGAGCGTCAGCGTCAGTTCTGGCAGGCCAGGTAGTCAAGCTGCTGCTTATGCTATTTGCTATCAACACTGTCCCGTCAGCTGATCTGCTCCAGCTGAGCTGCATTAGCTGGTTAACTCCCCTCGCTGTTCAATGGCCAAGCTCAAACAAGGCGCCTTATTTTAAGCTCATTCACCTTGCTCATACATGCTTGCCGCTCGCTCTGCTAGCTCGCTGCTCGCTTCTGCTGGCTCGCTGCTCGCTTCTGCTGCAATATTGACACAGGACGACGTGATTCATTCTCCATTCATCTCTGAAAATCTTCACGAAGCTAAGTTCCTTTTTAATATTCATTGCTAAAAGCTATCAGTGTGTTGGCAACATCCTTCTTGTTAATGCTATTCGTGTGGCATTTGGGCTTATCTAACTAATCGTTTTCATAAAAATGCTTATGCGATCATATTGGCTACGTGCGTTATCTGTTGTCATTGGCAACTGATCGCGTTGCTCACGCTGGCTTTTACCACTATGCAGCGCAGATTCAAACAGCTTGCTGTGATAGGAATTCACTTCT